TATTATTGATATAATAATATAACTCAATTCTTCCATTCTTTGTACATTTTACCAGTGACTTCAATTTTTCTCCCCCCCCCCCCCCCCCCCACCCACACACACACACACACAGTCATAAATAGTCTTTCTCTTTAGCAACAGGCACTGCACAGTGTACAATAGCATCCCAGCATCAGTCTGCATCGCTCTGACATCCCCGCGCCAAACAGCAACCACTGTGGCCCCACTTCATGGGGGCGAGCAACATCCCTCCCCCGCCCCCACCCCTACACACACATTACAGCATCAAAGCAGAAATCCAACTCATAACGATTTGCATGTGAATGGGGTTCGGATGGATGACACCAATAATTTCAGGATCAAAGAGAAGCCTCTTGTTAAGCAGTGATCCCGACACCTGTTACAGGGGAAAGGCGGGCACAGGCCCTGGGTTTAATATTGTACTAGAAACTACTCTTGAAATTGAACAGACCTTAACCCGGTCACTGGATAGATGGATAAATATCGCAACTGAGTGGAAACCAGTCATGATTTTTTTTCCCTCTGTTTTTAGATTTATTGCAAAGGTTTTTATCAAATGTTATCCTTATCATTAATTTTTTTAAAAAAAATCTTTATTATCGGGTATCTAAGCTGTGCTTTCCTCCCCCACCCTCAACATTTTTTTTTCTCTCTTCGAATATCTGTCTGCTTTCCTGCTTTTTAAATGGCGCAGTAAAAGGTAGAAAACTTCGAGCGATTTGTTTGGTATTTGCATTTGTAAAAGAAAGTGTATTTGTTCCAAATTAAAATATAGTAATAGTCTGGAAATGAATGATTATACAAATTATACATATACTATATATAACACATTGCATATATGCACAATACATTATATATGGCATACAAATGGGGAAATTATATATTATATATACTGTATACATGCATATTATATATTTTATATATAATAAAGTCTGCATATATCCTAGGAATTCACAGTTGTAAGACATCAGCCTCTAAACTAATAGTGTTCATTCTACTAGTGGTTAGTGAATGAAGGCGAGAGGCGTTGAGTTAGACACCTTTATCCACGCTTCATGCAAAGACTTGTTAATCAATGTTTTTTAAATGGTAAACTCTACCTCTCTTTGGTAACGTTTACAAATTCATCGCTTATATGATATTAGAGAATTGGACGCAATCGGCAAAAAAATACATTTTTCTCAATATAAAAACGATGTAAACAAGAGTGGTTCACTGAGCTGAAATAGATAGTCTAGTCCTAACGGAATATTGAGATAGGAAGATGGATAGAATATATTAATGTGATTACACGAATGTCTGGTCTCTCAACAACGTATTATTTAGCATTTTAACGTAACGCAAACCTCACGTGGTTAGTAATTGCCGTATACTATTGATTACCGTTTTTTAACAGTTAAAAAAAGTACCTTTATTTGAGACTCTAAGTCAAAGCTGACGCGTTTGCGGCTATAAATCTTGTTAAAGTGTAGGTGGGTTAATTCACTTGGTCTTTGCTCACTCAGCCTCGGTGTGTGTGAGTGAGCGACGGGAGCTGTTTACGTGCCACCCAGAAGAGCGAGGCCAAAGCTTCGCCTCTTTTACAATAAATCTTTCAGTAGCCACACGATTCAGCTGCTTTTATCAGCAAAGCCCGCAGTTTGTATGAAATCTGACAAACGCCCATTATTAGCTTGTAGCTACCAGAAAAGAAAACCCTCTCCTAATCAATGTCACAGCCCTTTTCACCAGAGTCCTGTGATCTCGTTCATAGCCACAACCTCTTTAAGCTGGAACTCTAAACGCCATTAAGTGGGCTGTACATTTATTTACTCGAGACCCTAACAATCCAGCCCTCAGCGCATGTAACTATCCAACTGGATGATAATTTACGATAGATATCCACAGACCTATTTACAAACCTGTTCAGTTTTTAGACCTTTTTTTTACGTTATCGCAAAATACAGGATTCTTAAATAAATGTTGTCGATATGGCTAACCTCCGGTAACTTTAGTTTGAAAGTTTCAAAAATAATTGTGGGTCTATGCGGTGCAAATCGAAATCTTTTTACGCGTTTAGCTTTTTTATGCTATACAGACGGCCATGAGTAGGGGAAGCTGGGAGGTTATTTTACATTGAAACGCGCACACACACAAAGCTCCACTTTACATTTAAATGCAGATTTGAGAGTACCTTTTGAGCATGTGTGTGTTTGCAAAAGCTAAACATAGAAGGAGGGACGATGGTTCTTAAATGCTAGAGATAATAATATTTATGTTTTATTAAAGTGTTAAAAAAAACACTGATTCCAACTTAAGTCTTGCAGCTCTCTCACTCCCTCTCTCTTTGCCTTTCCCGAAGGGTCAAAATTGAAACTCCACTTTCTCGTCTTACTCTGCGGGCGAATCCTATCATTTTTAAATAAACCCAAATAAGTCAAATAAAGGAGTAAAAAAAATGACTTAAGTTAGCTACCGCGTTCATTTCTAGCATTTATTCTCCCACCCTGCATGTCTTCAGTAAACTTTAATTATTTCAGGCTAATTTCAAATTGAACACACGCACACAAATCATAAACTCTGAATTACTGGAGCAACTTAATTTAAAATAAATACGACATAGTCGCCAAAAGTCTCATTTTTATACAAAGAAAAACTTACTCTATGGTATATTAAAGTGCTGAGGTCGTCACTTAAGGAAAATATCAGATTTTTAAAGTAAATTTAAACTTCACACACGATTCTATAAGGAAATTGGGGGGGGAGGGGGGTGAATAAAGAGCTGAGTCGAGCACTTTTTGTTGAAAAAAACAGAAAAATTGGAGACTAGGTAGGCCACACAAAAGGTTTACTGCTTTAATTAGTCCATTTCTCCTTTTTTCCCCACCGCGGTTGTCTCTGACCGTTTTCTTCCCCCTCTAGCAATTAGTTGGTATTATGCGGCCGGTAAGTGCGGGTTAATGTCAGTGATTAAAAGCAGTCCCATGCTCAACTTGAGCACAGAAAGCAGAGAGAAAACATATTTTAACATAATCAAAGACGTCCAAAGGGCCACCTTGGGTAATGAGCTTGTCAGGAGCCACCCTGCACTGTAATTTAGCCCGTTTTTCTGCACACAGTTTCACATCCAAGAACTCTACCATCCCGAGTCAAAACACATGTGGTTCACACAAACGTTTCAAACTAGATTCATTGCCCCGTCTGTCTTGTCCCGTGGCTCACACCCCTGGGTCCACAGGCCCGAAAAAAAGCACAGACTTAAAAGAAGATAACCAACAGGGAAGGGGAGGGAAAGGGGAGATCGCTTTTCAAAAGCAAATGTGGTGCTTTGCGGGGATATGAAGACAGTGGTTTATTCAGGACACGGCGGTATCAGCAACACAAACAAACTCACCAGAGTTTATGTGGATTAGGGGCGGATACAAGTTACTGCTGTTCAGAAACACAGCGAGAAGTGACAGCGAGAAATGGGTTTACGGGGAGTTAAGAAGGAAGAGATGTGTGTGTGCGTTTGTGTGTCAATAGCATCTGTTTGGTGCTTAAATATTATGTTTTTATATAGAGAGATACACCCTCCATTTAATTATGGTGAGATATTAAGAACTGTACAGGTGAATTGAAGTGTAATATTTTGGGTTTCTGTCTGTCTGTCTGTCTGTGTGTGTGGGTGGGTGGGGGGATAGGAGGGGTGGGAGAGAAACTCGGTCTATCTATATTGGACTTTACTTGTTACAAAAACTGTGGGGAATTTCCAATAGTCCATGTTTTTTAACTCCTATAGCTGGTTTTGTCTTCTGAAGACACGTGCGACTCTTAAGATTAAACAGAATGGGGAGGGGGGGAAAGGAAAGGAAAATAAAATGCTGAAAATTTGATTTGATAGAAACGCGTTTTCCTCTCTCTCTCCTCAAATTATATACCCCACCCCCCACCCTCCAAAAAAATTCTAGAAACTTTAACAATAAAAATACAAAGGAATTAGACAGAAAATCCACTGCTTGGTACTCATACATTGCCTTGAATTACAGTTACATCAAACAACCTATTCGATTTTTTCTCTCCCCTAACACTAAGCAGGTGCAGACCTCAAGAACCATTCAACTAAATTTTGAATAAGAGCCTTAATTTACACAATTCAGAATAATCCACCGTTAATGTTATCGAATGTCCTGAAGGATAGAGCAAAATAATCGAGGACCATTGAGCTAATGCATTTCTGCAGCGTAACTCTCTCTCTCTCTTAAAAGAGCCTTGCGACTTTAGCTTGTTTTTTTTAATTAAAAAAATATATCGTATTTTTAAAAAATGCGGGTAAGAAATGTGCAAAAATACATGTGACGACATCCTTTTTCCGAGTTCAAAAAACATTTATTAACTTACATCAAAAAAAGAACATTTTTTTTGAACATCATTCCACAGACTTTCCTCATAAAATAGACCCGATGTACAATAAACTGAACGAACAGGCAAACAGAATGTGTGAACGCTGTACATCTACTCTATACCTATATACAAATAATTACAAAAAAAAATCGTCATTAAACGCAGAACTTGGGGAGTTGGAGTTTAACGCTAAACTGAACGGGTTCAAAGACTCCAATTTATTAATTGAATTTCCTTTTAATAATTTCCATAGCCATTGTAATGTGCTTTTCGATTTTATTTTATTTTTGAAAATCTATTCAATAAACCTGAGGGTTGCTGGCGGTCGTTTTAACGTTGACTGACTGACTAGTAGAATAGCTTAGAGTGTTTAACTATCATCCAATACAGACACCAGAAAGCACCAGAAAGCATGACTTTAATAATTCAATATTCCCCTTCGCACTTTTATATTTTACATATGTACATACGATAAATATATTTTTAATCTTTCCTGTCCCCTTTCTTGAAGCGAAACATATTCTGCCTGGCTTCGAAATATTAAAAAAAACATATATAATTCCTACCTTACACGGGAGGTGGGAGAGAGAGAGGAGAGGAGAGGAGAGGAGAGAGAGGGCGAGACATGTTTTTTTTGTTTAATAGTGACAAGTGTTAAGGTTTGTGAGTTTACTCGGGAAGTTCTGTCCGCTTGTCAGGAGGTTTTCGGGGGTCAGGTTTAGAGGGTTCTGGGGTGGGGTGAGAGTTGGGGTCAACATAGCCAACACCTGAGCTGGGCTTCCAGCCGAGGCGGAGAACGTCGAGGCGGGTCCGGTGGAGGGAGCGGACCCTATGATATTGTCTATGGAGAAAGAGGGTCTGGTCTGGTTGGGATCCGCTTTCAGCCCTTGCAGGCCGGGCAAGGCAGGGCTGGGCTGGGGGTGGTAGAAGGACTTCCTGGTGATCTCTCCCCCGTGGAGGAGCGAGGGGATGGCCGGGGTCTGGAACATGCCAGCCGGGGCGGCCACCGAGCAGTGCGGGGCTTGGAAAGGGAAGGCGGTCGGAGTCGGGTGGTGATGATGGTGATGATGATGATGGTGCGGGTGATGGAAATTCTGCAGTTGGATCCCGTAGCCGCAGCCGTAAGGTCCGTATCCAAACCCGGGCAGGAAAGTCCCGTGTTCCCTCAGGATCTCGGAGGGCTGTTGCCGTTTGAACCGTTTCCTCCTCCTCAGAAAGCTCCCGTTGTCGAACATGTCCGCAGAGTCCGGGTCCAGGGTCCAGTAGTTGCCTTTGCCGGGGTTGCCCGGCTCCCGGGGGATCTTGACGAAGCAGTCGTTGAGGGAGAGGTTGTGCCTGATGGAGTTCTGCCAGGCGGGGAACTTCTCCCGGTAGTAGGGGAAGCGGTTGCTGATGAACTCGCAGATCTCGCTCAGCGTCAACCTCTTCTTGGAGCTCTGCAGGATGGCCATGGTGATCAGGGCGATGTAGGAGTACGGCGGCTTGACCAGGGCGCTCTTCCCGGGCTTCTCCCCCACCCCCGCCCCCGCCCCCGCCCCGACCCGGGGGTGGTGAGACTCGGAGCCGCCGGACGCATCGCCCTCCTGGACCCTCTCGGACGCGATCCTGGAGACGTTGTCATCCGAATCGTTGTCGGAATGGAAGCCGCCGTGTCCCCCCCCCGGGCAGGTCAGGTCCCCCACCACATCGATATCCGTGTCCTCGGAGAGCGCCGAGTTGTCAGACATCTCGGTGCCTAAAGTCATTTTCGAAGCGATTCGCCTGTGTTTCTTCTTCCTCTTCTCCTCCTGCGGTGTCGGTAACAAATCCCACTCTGCGCTTCCCCGGAACCTCCTGTGAGAGTGGGGAGGTGGGGGGGGGGGGGGGGGAGGGGGAGGGGGGAGGGTGTGAGGAAGGTGGGGAGAGACAGAGAGAGTGTGGTGTGGTGGTGGGGAGGGGGTGTGGGGGTTGTGGGGGGGGGTCAGTGAGCCGGAACCCCAGTCACGCCGGGAACAGTCCAAACCCTCTTCTCACCCCTTTTTTTCTTTTTCCTCATCGACTAACTTTTTTTTCCAAAGTTGATTTCCTTCCTTCCTTTTCTTGGATGGAGAGTTGAGGGAGGGAGTTGGCTGGGGGGGGGGGGGGGAGATGGGGGTGGGGGGAGATGGGGGGGAGGGGAGATGGGGGGGGGGTTGTTACGTTGTTTTCTGTATCTTTTTTCCTCTTCTCTTTAGAACAAAAGTTTTTTTGATGGATAAATAAATATATATACACAGCATATAGATATGTGTATAATTGTTGGTTCTTCCAGTGTCTGTCTATGTGTCTGTCTGTGTGTCTTTCTGTGTGTGTGTCTGTCTGGGTGTCTGTCTGTGTGTGTGTCTGTGTGTCTGTGTGTCTGACTGTGTGTGTGTGTCTGTCTGTGTGTGTGTCTGTCTGTGTGTGTGTCTGTGTGTCTGTGTGTCTGACTGTGTGTGTGTGTCTGTCTGTGTGTGTGTCTGTCTGTGTGTCTGTGTGTGTGTCTGTCTGCGTGTCTGTGTGTGTGTCTGTCTGTGTGTCTGTGTGTGTGTCTGTCTGTGTGTGTGTGTCTGTCTGACTGTGTGTGTGTGTCTGTGTGTCTGTCTGTGTGTGTCTGTGCGTGTGTGTGTCTGACTGTGTGTCTGTGTGTGTATCTGTATGTCTGTGTGTGTGTCTGTCTGTGTGTGTGTCTGTCTGTGTGTGTGTCTGTATGTGTGTGTGTCTGTGTGTGTCTGTGTGTGTGTCTGTCTGTGTGTCTGTCTGTGTGTGTGTCTGTGTGTGTGTCTGTGTCTGTCTGTGTGTGTGTGTCTGTGTGTGTGTCTGTCTGTGTGTGTCTGTCTGTGTGTGTCTGTCTGTCTGTCTGTGTGTGTCTGTCTGTGTGTGTCTGTGTGTGTCTGTCTGTGTGTGTCTGTCTGTCTGTCTGTGTGTGTCTGTCTGTGTGTGTCTGTGTCTGTCTGTGTGTGTGTCTGTCTGTGTGTCTGTCTGTGTGTGTGTCTGTGTGTGTGTCTGTGTCTGTCTGTGTGTGTGTGTCTGTCTGTGTGTCTGTCTGTGTGTGTCTGTCTGTGTGTGTCTGTCTGTCTGTCTGTGTGTGTCTGTCTGTGTGTGTCTGTGTCTGTCTGTTTTTGTGTGTCTGTGTGTGTGTGTGTCTGTGTGTGTGTCTGTCTGTGTGTGTGTGTGTGTCTGTCTGTCTGGCTACATATATCTATATATATCTCCTATGTGGCTCAGTGCTGTGTGGCTCAGTACTGACCAGGAGACGCCTCTCCTCTGCCCCACAAGAGCTGCTGTCAATAGACATTTATCCGATAGGGGGCGTCACGTGGGCCTTGACGTCAGCACCGAGCCCAGACTTCCTTCCATCTGTGACAACAGCCCAGACCTGTCCCCCCCCCAACATCCCCCACCAACATCCCCCTCCATCCCCTCCCCCACCAACCCCCCCAACATCCCCTCCAACCCCTGCAACATCCCCTCCCCCACCAACCCCACCCACACCATCCCCCCCAACATCCCCCCCCCACCAACCCCAACTACCCACACCATCCCCCACCAACATCCCCCCAACATCCCCCTCCAACCCCCCCAACATCCCCCCAACACCCCCCTCCCCCACCAACCCCCCCACCAACACCCCCAACATCCCCCCCCAACCCCCCCCACCTGCACCATCCCCCTCCCCAACATCCCCCAACATCCCCCTCCCCCACCAACCCCCCCAACATCCCCCTCCCCCACCAACACCCCCACCCACACCAACCCCCCCCCCAACATCCCCCCCACCCACACCAACCGCCCCCCACCCACACCACCCCCCCCACATCACCCCCCAACATCCCCTCCCCCAACATCCCCCTCCAACCCCCCCAACATCCCCTCCAACACCCCCAACATTCCCCCCCACCCATACCATCCCCCACAACATCCCCCCCACCATCACCCCCACCACCACCCCCTCCACGCCATCCCCCCCACCACCACCCCCTACCCACACCAACCCCCCCACCATCCCCTCCCCCACCACCCCCCCCACCATTCCCCCCACCCACACTATCCCCCCAACATCCCTCCCCACCACCCCCCCAACATCCCCCTCCCCCACCAACCCCCACCATCCCCCCACCCCACCATCCCCCCACATCCCCCCCACCCACCATCCCCCACCATCCCCCACCATCCCCCACCATCCCCCCCACCCCACCATCCCCCCACCATCCCCCCACCATCCCCCCACCCCCACCATCCCCCACCATCCCCCACCATCCCCCACCATCCCCCCCCCACCATCCCCCCACCACCCCACCACCCCCCACCACCCCCACCATCCCCCACCATCCCCCCACCATCCCCCCACCATCCCCCCCACCATCCACCACCCACACCACCCCCACCATCTCCCCCACCCACTCCATCCCCCCCCACCATTCCCCCACCACCATCCACCACTATCCACACCCCCCAAACCCTGATCAGCCCCACCCACACCAGAAACCTCAGTCAGCAGCTAAACTTGCACACCCCACCCCCTCCCTCCCCTCCTTTTCCATCTCCTGTATCTATCTGCCTCTTCTCAATCTCTCTCTCTCCTTCTCGTTCTCAGCATTTTTACAAAGCATTTTTGGTAAGATTTAGGATAAGAATATTATTAAACATTTTTTGTAAAATCATTAATAATAATAAATTGGTCGCTTCAATCCATTACTGCTGTGTGCAATTGGCTGCCGGGTTTCGCCCACGAAATATACAGTCAATTCACTTTACAGTATATCGCGTGAAGCGCTTTGAGACGTCTCGAAGACCTGATAAGGCGCTGCATGAAATGCAAAGATTGTGGATGTTGTTTAATTACACAATCAGGACTTTACGTGTTTTGCTTATTTTGCAAATATTTCTCTCTCACACACACACAGACATACACACAACACATCTTGAAACGTTTCAATGATCGTGTGAGGTTTACATCGAGTAGGTCCCTTTTCCCGTTAGAACTTAAAGACGCGGAGAGACGATTGGGAAAGAAAAGAGATAATAAAGACGGAATAAAATTGCTTCTCGGGGCTGTTGGGGAAATACACTGTGCACACATTGCCTGTCGCGTTTGTCTACAAATACACACTCACCGTCGCTGTACTGGACAACAACACCCGAAGCGCTTGAAAGTTTTACAGACAGATCAAAATAAAAGTAATCATTATTATTGAATTTCTGCCTTTGCATATTAGTAAGTATTGTATTTACAAAGTGGTGACGCTCTCTCTCTCCTCATTGCTAAAATCCAAACTTCTGGGTCTCACGAAAAGTGTATTGGTGTAATTATTTTGCTCTTAGTTAAAACTTTCTTTCAACTCAACTGTAACGCAGGTGCACCTTATGTGATTTGTGTGTGTGTGTGGGGGGGGGGGTTGTGGTGTGTGTGGGGGGTTGTGGAGTGTGGGGGGGGGGTGTTTACGGCGCACGTGTTACTGATAAATTAAACAGTTTTCGGCTTTCATGCTGAATTTCAAGCTATTCGTGTGATACACAGCTCCGTACGACGTGTGCCACTTATTATCCATATATATAAAATATAATATGAACAAACAATTTTATAATTTTTTATACAATAAAGAAACGAAATCAAGCATAAGTGCAGTAATGATTTCAATAAAACGGGATACCCTAATCTACCTGTTAGGGTAGACAAAGTGGTTCTATAATACACCCAGTCTTTCAAACTACTATACAAAAAAAATCTTTACATTTGATGATGAGCCTTTCAAATCGGGAAGACTACTCAAAGGATATACTGTAAGTATAGTGACTGTGTACTTTGTAGGCGATAATAATAATCTTTGCATTGATTTAGCGCCTTGTTATGTCGTTGAGACGTCTCAAAGCGCTTTACTGTAAAGTAAATTGACTTTGTATCTTGTGTGCGAAACGCACAGAAATAAATGCTGGGAAGGGCAACTTTAATGGGGGGAGAAGGAAAGTCGAGACAACCAGAACACAGGAAGAAAACTGATAACTTCCCTTGACTCCAATCGATACCTTAGCTTTTTTAATTGTGGGAATAATTATGGAGGAGAAGTCTCTAAAACACTTTTAGCGAAGGGAACACAAGCCAACTGCAAATACCACACATAGACCACGAGCTTCACTTCGCTGTGTGATCCGCCTCCAATGGAAGGTTAATTTTAAGGTTATACTCACTCTAAAACGACCCTTTGCTGTGCGTTGCATTTATTGGTGCTCAGAATAAAACTAAATGCGTTAAAAAAAACACACGCAGACCCTCTGCACTTATCACCACGCAAACAGCTTCTCAATATTGAGTCAATATTCTCACACACAGAGAGGCCATTAAATTCAAAGGGAAGGTCTTGGAAATGTGCTTTTCATATCAGTTAAACTCACGATTGGTAGATCGCTCGTATATAGTGCATAAAACGTAGAAAGTTAGTTTTCATCATTAAAAATCCGAATTCTTCATATTTCTATAATTTTTAATATATAGTAGTACTGATGCTAATTTTTAATATATAGGTCTACTTTTATATAATATAATAATCCTAGCTTTTGAATATAGCGCCTTATCACGTCTTCTAGACGTCTCGAAGCGCTTCAAAGAATATTGTGTAAAGTGAATTGACTATTTTGTGGGAGAAATCTAATATATAATATATACACTATATGCAATTTATCTATTTAAGGGTTATTATGTTATTATACACACACAAGTACAAATAACTGTTCTTGCTGGACCTGAGTGCCACGGTTCATGTATGTATACAGAGGTGGTAAAAGCCGCGTTAGTTTG